AAAAAAAATATATATATATATATATATATATGATAAAAATGATATTTATCTTGATGCCTGGGTTTTGGGCACCCTCTTAAAATTTGCACCTGGGCCAAGTGCCTCACTCACCTCTACCTAGTCCCGTCCCGCAAAACTTGTGCCTTGTGGGCTGTGTGACTTGGATAAGTTGCTTAACCTCCCAGGGCCTGGACTTCCTCCTCTAAAATGGGGACAATCCGTGTACCTGCTCACAGTTGTTAGCAGAGTACAATGAAGTAAAGATGCACATTACATAGAAGACTCGCAATAAGTTTTTCCTACAGGGAAGCCTGGTGTGGGGCTTGGGATGGGGCTGGAGGGTCCCCAAATGGACATGACCTAGCTCTGCCCTTGAGAAGAGCTGGCCCAGCTGCCTAGAACTCTCTACTGCTTCCATTTTCAAATGAAACATGAATTTTCTTCTTTTCCTGCCTTCAGTGGGAGGCCCACTGCTGCTTACCCCACAGCCTCCCTGGCTCCCAGCACCTTCCATCCCAGCTGCCCGGGGGCCCTCACCTTCACCTCCCCCATCCTCTCCTCTGCCCACTCCCACTGAAGGCCATGGCTCCCCGTCCCTCTACGCTGCCATGAGGCCTGCACTTTGCAGGGCTGAAGTCCAAAGTTCAGTCCTTTCGCTAAGCACACGGATAAATATGAACCTTGGAGAATTTCCCCAGCTCCAATGTAAACAGAGCAGGCAGGGGCCCTGATTCACTGGCCGCTGGGGCCAGGATTGGGGGTTGGGGGTGCCCACAGGGCTTGGCTAGTGGGGTTTGGGGGGGCAGTGGTTGCAAGGAGCCTGGTTTGTGTCTGCCACTGGCCGGCAAGTAACAGCCCACGAGGTGGGGGAGGTGGCCGGTGTGGTGGACCTGCCTCGTGGCCCTGCGCTGGTAGAGCCATGGTTGCTAAACTGAGCCAGCTGCAGACGGAGCTCCTGGCCGCCCTACTTGAATCAGGCCTGAGCAAAGAGGCATTGATCCAGGCGCTGGGTGAGCCGGGACCCTACTTGCTGGCTGGAGATGGCCCCCTGGACAAGGGGGAGTCCTGCGTCAGTGGCCGAGGGGAGTTGGCTGAGCTGCCCAACGGGCTGGGGGAGACTCGGGGCTCCGAGGACGAGACGGACGACGATGGGGAAGAGTTCACACCACCCATCCTCAAAGAGCTGGAGAACCTCAGCCCCGAGGAGGCAGCCCACCAGAAAGCCGTGGTGGAGACCCTTCTGCAGTAAGGACCCCCTCCCCATCCCCAGCTCCCAGGAAGGAGCCCAGAGGGGTCCACCCTCACCTTCTCTTCTGCGTCTAGAGTCCCTGTGGTCTGTGTGGCCTTTAGTGTAGCTGCTGGGAAGGGGGACAGGGACGATGAGCGCCTGGAGGAGAGGGAGTCCTTGCTTGGAGGTTGGAACTCCTAGTCCTGACCTGCCCCACTGCAGGGTCTCTAGTCCGTGAGCCGTGGCCTTCAGCCCGGCCTTTGGGAAGCTCAGACATGGGAGAAAGGCAGGAGAACCCACAACTGGAAGTTCTGGAGAACCGGGGGGTGTTGAAAAGTTTTAGCCACCACAATCATTTGTACCCCCTCAAATCCTAACTTGTACACTAAGTCCTCCAGGTGTAGGCTCAGGAGCCAGGAAGCAGAAGAGCTGAGGCTGGGGTTTTGGGGACTTCCCTGGCCACCTGAGGACTCATGCACTCAGTTGGGGAAGCCCAAGTCTTTCTTACCTGAGGCAGGAGGAGTCTTGGGGTGGGAGTTGCTCCCCTTTTCTGCGTAGCCACAGGCACCCCACGTTGCCAGCAGGTGCCATTCATTAGAGGCCTCCCTGTCCCATACCCCCCTCTGCCAGCTGGCTCCCCATCTCCTGGATAACTGGGTGGGTCTGGAGCTCCATGCCTCCCCTCTCCTCAGTAGAGCTGACCTAGTTACTAATTACCCATGTGCTTTATTATTTCTCTTTTGTTTTATAAATTTATAAATGGCAAAAGGCTCTGATAAGGCCTGTGATCATTAACTTGTAGGGATGGTGGCCTGGAGAGGCCTGGGCCAACCCCCCTCCCACCCAGTGGGGGATGGGGGTGCCAGGGTGGGGGAAGGGCAGCAGGGACCACCCTACCCAAAGGCTCCATGACCTCCAGGCTAACCTCTGCCTGCTTAACAGGGGAGTGGGAGTGGGGTGGGGTAGGGTGGGGGTGTAGGAGGGTTTACTGCCCTACGAGCAATCGGCTGAGATTTCACCTGCGCAACTTCTTTTAATGTTAAGATGAACCCTAGGAAGAAGCTGTTGATAATTTTAATTCACAGATGGGGAAACAGAATCTTGCAATGGGGAAGCGGCTTGACTAAGGTTATGCCTAGCTGTTTGGGCCTCTCAATGCCTACAACTGGGGGCCAGGGACCAGCTGGCCTGGGGTAGGGCCTGGTGGGGAGGGTGGCTGAGGGAGAGCCCAGAAGATGCTCTGCAGGGGACCATCTCTTTTCTGTCCAAGGTCCTGATCCCAGCATTGGGTGGGGGGAGGGCTTGTGGCTCCCTGCCTTCCCAGAGGCCTCAGGGAGCCTCCGGAGGACCTGTTCTGGGGGCAGGGGAGCAGTCAGGGCCCCCTGACTTGGCAGGAACAGTAGGGCAAAGGGCTGCTGAGCCATAGGGGAGGGGCAACGAGTCGAGCCTCCTAGACCCAGGGTGAGGGCAGCCTGGACAGGGTGGGGCTGGACCTGACCTGCTCCAGGCCCCAGATGGGACTGGGGGCTCTAGGGCAAGGGTGGGGACAGGGGGTGCCCAGGGCCTTTCTTACCTGGCAGGGTGGGGGTCTCTTGGTTGGCAGCCCCTTTGGTGGGATGGTGGGGTTGGGGGAGGCTTGATCCACAGCCTTGGAGGGGGAAGCAGAGGCCAAAGTGCTTCCTGGGGACCAGAAGAGACTCAGAGGCTGAGGGACAGGGAGGAGACGGGGAGGAGGAGAGAAGATGAAGAGAGAAGCAGGAGAGCAAAGGAGCCAGGAAAGCAGAGGGGCTCAGATCCAGCTGGGAGAAGGGGCCAGACAGAGAGTGAGGCTCCCCAAGCTGAGAGGAGGCTGGAGTGCTTCCCTCCTGCCTGGATCAGGTTTTCTTTAATGCTAACAGCATGCTATTTACTTTCCATTTAAATTTGAGATGTTGCTATAAATTATCAACCAGCTCCTTGTTCCTGCAGAGTTTATAACTAACTACCTGGGTTACTTATTGTTCAGGGAACAAAAGGGATCTGAAAACGCCCCAAGGAAAAAAATTGGGGCCTCTAGCCTCAGGATTGGGGTCAAGCAGCCCGAGGGAGAGGGTGGGGGACCACCCCTACCCATGGATGCCATGGCTGGGGGGGCATTGAGGCTGGAGGTACAGAGGCAGGACTTCAGTGGCAGCTGTTTCTTGGGAGAGGACAGCATCTGGGAAGAGGCTGGGGTGGGTCCTGGATTCGGACCCCCCCTAACGTATCTCATATTTGTAGTCACAGTAGGACCCTGAACCCTTGCCTCAGATTTCTACCCTTAGTTTACCATGTGACTTTGAGCAAATTTCTTCGTCTCCTTTTGCCTCAGTTTCCCCACCTGGACATGGAATAAAGTCAGTTCCTTCTTCCTCTACCCCATTACCTTCCCTGACTTCACACTGACTTTGCCGTCTCTGAGCACACCAAACTGATTCCTACCTCAGGGCCTTTGCCCACGCCACAAAGGCCTCTTTCCAGATCTTGCCT